TCAGACTGGATTACAAAGTTCAAGATAGGCCTGAACTACATGGCAAGAACCTATTTTGAAAAACAAAGCCAAAATTCATTATGTAGAAAATAAACTCCAAAACAGTCATTTATTGTATATGTCAAAAGTAATCTTTATGTGTTAATACCTTGGTGGATCTTTTTTCTATTAAAATGTTTGAAACTAGAGTTGTCCAGCTTAATTTTTGTACCTCATCAAGCTATAAACAAAACTGGCCATAAGTGGATACAGTTTTTATAAATGTACTGTATTTACCATGAAGTCCTTTCGTGACTATGCCTAGCTAGACAGGAAATAAAGCAATAGAAAAGAATACCAAAGTATACAATGAGCCATCCTTCCCCATGGGGCTGTTTGGGGACCCTGCGATTGTCTCCCTTGTGATTCACCAATACCTAGGGTGACATATCAACAGTCTGCTCTATGCTGTGCTGTGCTCCACTCACTCACAAGAGCAATATCATTTCACTCATTTTCCTGTCAATCAAAGTCCATCAACACATTCACAGAGTTGTGCTTCATTATTCCCTTACCCTCCACTGAACGTTCCTTTATTCAATATGCACTGAGATCAGGCTACACTCACTTTGGGTAAACTAACCCATGTATGAGGCAGAGGAGGAAATGAATCCCAATCACTTTATATATGCATGTTTTATCCACCCATTGGGACTGCAAGCTCTTCGGGGAACAGTTTACCTTCTCTTGCTGTAATGCTTTCCTCTGTAGAGATTATAAAAGGTTTTCCCTGGAGTAAACTCAAGTTTTGCTTGCTTGTATTATCAATGACATTCATTTGATACATGTAGCAGTATGTATTCATTTTTAGTGGGAATAAAATTATTACCAACTCTTTTTAAGTTTGGTAAACAAAAGGGCTTGCCAAATAGCTCAGCAGATTAAAGCGCCTGCAAGCAGGCACAGGGGCCAGGGGTTCGATCCCCCCCCGGGCCTGCTGTGTTGGCACTGCCCCTGGGGCATGCTGAGATGGCAATTGAGACTGGGCATGGTGGCACATGCCTGTAATCCCAGCTCTTGGGAGGTTGTAAATAGGTAGATCACTATAAGTTGGATTTAGTAGTGAGGCCCTGATCATTCTGTAGACCTTCCCTAAAATACAAAAAGAGGCATATTACAGATTTCTGTTCCTAATGGAATAAAAAGCAGGCACTTCTACACACAGTTCAATCAGTAAATCACATCTACTTTTTGCCCAGATGCACATAATAGAATAGTGCATGCTTCTTCTAGTTAAAGAAAAAATATCAGGAAAGTATTTGTTCATAAGAATTTGGACCCGTAGTTATTGCAGAAGAGCCCTCTAAAGACAACCTCCTAGGACAGCAGATCTTCCACAACATGTATTACTTCCGTTATGAAAACTTGTGAGCTTTGTAAATTTCTTAAAGATCAGAATCTCTTTTTCTCACGGCAGTACCCTTTCTAAATTACTCCATACACCAGGATATGAGTTATTGTTCAATGAATCAATGGATCATTCAAATGACAGATAAGGTTCTTTATGCCTCACTAGTCCTGACTGTAAATTAGGTGCTTTGGGATGTCTGCTTCTTGAGCATCTCGAGGGTGACAGTACTATAATGAAGCAAGGGGATAGTTTACTAACTGGAAAAACTGGAGCTGGTGATTTAAAGCTGAGGGTGACTGCCACTACTTAGAGTGTTCTTAATAGCTGCTTCCAGAATGCTACTTTCCCAATTCAGGGCTGACCAGATTAAATAAATCTTCGTAGTAATACTTCACTATTTACACTAATATAGTAGGAAGAAAATGTTTCTTTCAGATTTAACAAACACCAAGGTTAAGAAGATATGGAAAATATTAAAATTTCCTCTTTTAAAAAACAAAGCAAAACAAACCACACTGCTTTTTACTCAATCTCCAAATTCAAAAGTTATTTTGAAAAACATTTAGGCACTAACACCCTAAAACCCTCAATTATTACAAGTCAGTGAATATTAAGGAACGATACAGCTAAATCACCTAAATCCTATACCAGTAACTGATATAATTTTTTTACTCTTGCCTTCTTGGTATTAGTCAAGAGAACCAAACCAGAGCAATGTTTTCTTTGGAGATGGAACTTTTGAGGTCATTAGGAATGTTATTTTTAAAAAAGTCTAAATAAAAGATGTTCATAAAATATTACACAGAATCTCTCAGGAACCAAACAGGACATAAACAGATAAAAGCTGCTTTTACATCAACACTGATTTACTCTGAAAGTCATACACAACCTACATGTTTTAGATAAGCTGGTATGTCTTATTATCAGATTATATACATAATGCCTACATCATCAAAAAATTCCTTTTACCCAAACATCCAGGAATCTTTTAAAGAAATACTCACGTAAGACAGGGTTTAGTTTCATTTCAGACTTAAGAAATTAAAGCTCAAAATATTTCAGAGTTGGAAATTTTGAAAAGCAAATAATAAATTATCCAGGGTTATAAGAGAGGTGTAGCATGGCATAAACCTACTCTTGTCCTTTTTTTGCTACTTTCATAATGAAGGAAAACATCTTACCAGATGTGGAATAAATCAAGATTTTTTTTTAACAATTTTTGTTTCCTTTTTCCTCTTTCCTTCTCTTCCATTACTTTCTTTTCACATTTTCTTCCTTTCCTTATTTCCTAAAGTAAATAGCTTTACTATTTTTGAAATAGCTCTTTTTATTATCTAAAAGAATTAGTAACTTTTTTTTTTTTTTTTTTTGGTGGTACTGAGGATTAAATCCAAGCTCTTAGCAATGAACTACATCCAGAGTCTTTTGAAAAAGTTTTCATTTTTATTTTGACACAAGGTCTTGTTAAGTTGCCCAGATTGGGTGTGAATTTGCAATCCTCCCGCTTCAGCATCCCGGAGCGCCAGGATTATAGGAATGAGCTAAGGGTATATGACTACTAAATTTATTTTTATGTAAATGTTAAAATTTCTTGATCATGTCTACATCATTTAGAAGTTAAAATGCAAGAGTACTAAGTACAACACTCTCTTGAATTTCAGGCTATATAGTATATGATAACTATATAATATCCCACCTTGGCTAGAAGGGTAATTTATGTTTTAACTTACTAATTCTAAACTAGCTTTTCTTAAAATTAGAATGTGGGCTGGTCCTTTCACTACAGCAACCACTGAAGAACAGTAGCCATGGCCCTATGCTACCCCATGGCCATAGGCCTCAACAAGGGCCACAAGGTGACTAAGAATGTGAGCAAACTGAGGCACAGCCGCCATCACAGATACCTCATCAAACACACCAAGTTTGTGTGGAACATGACCTGAGAGGTGTGCGGCTTCACCCCCTACGAGTCGTGCACCATGAAGCTGCTCAAGGACAAGCATGCCCTCAAGTTTATCAAGAAAAGGGTAGGGGGCTGGTGAGATGGCTCAGTGGTCTAGAGCACCTACTTAGAACAAGCTTAGCAAAACGCAAGGACTGCGGTTCAGTCCCCAGCACCACATGCCAGCCAGCCCCGCCCCCTGGTGGGCTGAGCTGGCCACACACACACACACACACACACACACACACACAAAAAAAAAAAAAAAAAAAAATAAAAAAAAAAAAAAAAAAAAAGAAAAGGGTAGGGACAACATTTGTGCCAAGAGGAAGGCCAAGAAGGACTGAGCCCCTCTGGAATAAAGCTTTGATGTAAAAAAAAAAAAAAAAGAGAGAATGTAACTAAATAATTTTTTTAGCACATGAAATATCCTCCTGTGGATTTTTGTTTTACTTATAGAATTAGCTTTTATCTTTGGACCTTCAACTTTGAATTCAAATATATCTTGTAGAAATAAATAGTATTTATGACAATGTCAACAGGTATCCAGTAATAGCAAGCTCATGCATTATAGAGAACTTCTATTGTGAGGAGACTTAAAGGACATTTTACTAAAATCTTCTTAAAAGAAACCTGCAAATAGTATAAAGGTCCCTGATTCAATCACTAAATATTCTCTACTTTATCCTCAATTTAAAGCAGAACAGACCTGAAGCTAGAACAAGCATATGCATTAATCCTTACATTAACTGTGGATGGCTAACAGGTCCCTAGTGCATGGCCTTTATGGATGAAAATCTGTTTCTATATGCAGAAGTGTTGCTGGGAGGGGGGCCAGGGAGATAGCTCAGTGGAATAAGTGCTTGCCTGGCAAGCACAAGGCCCTGAGTTGGATCCCCGGTACCACCAAAAAACAAACAAAAAAATAAAAAATAAAAAAAAGAAGTGTTGCTGGGGTTCAAACCACACACTCAGTTTTCTGGAATAACACTAGATTTGGATTATTTACTTTTATGTACTAAGCAGCTGTGGGTATTAATACTTTATTCTTTAACTAGCAAGAACAAAGTACTGTCAGATATACACATTTTGTTAACGTAACAAACTGCCTTGTTATGAAGAAATGAAGTTCAGATGTTTTGCTTCAAGACTACAAAGCAAGGCCTTTTGAGATAAGGCCTTCCATCCAGGCTGATGCTTTCTATGTGTCTATCCATTTCTTTCAAAGAAAATTGTTTTAAAATTGAGTAGATAGGAACTACTAGAACTTGAAATAAGCAATATATCACATTACTAAGGTAATATATTTTCTTGTTGCCTTGCAATTGTTTCTATAAAAGAATATATGACCATGAAAATATGTGACTCATTTTACAGAAACATGTTTATAAGCAACTTTCCAAGAACATAACCCTTTTGCTAAGGCAGGAACATTTGTATTTACAATACAGAACTGAAACACCTACATGTTTTTCTGCATAACAGAACATGTTTCTCTTGGCTGAAACAATGTTTTATCTTAGTATTTGAGCAAGAATTTATAAATAGGTCATCCTTGATATTTTGGCCAGAAGGACATTCAGGCATTAGTTTTGTTTGAGGGAAAACAGTGAAATGTAACAGCATAAAACATGTGAGTCTTTTTACTTTTTCACATGCACACAAAGTTACCAGCTGAAGTCTTCTTTAATTCAGTTTTCAGTTTTTCCTGGTCTTCAACTAACTTTTTATTTTCTGCTTCCAAAACACGTTCCTCCTCTGGGCCAGGGTTTTTTAAGATCTACCACAAAAAGGAGTCAGAAGAAGAAATAAGCATAAATTGCAATAGGCAGACACTCTTACAGGAAGGCAGCTAAGTCACCTGTTTAAATTTATTGGTTTTTATTTAATTCTTTGTCCTTTCAGTATTTTACAATTTTCTACTTTTGTTAAAAGAGATTTGGGCTGGGGAGGTAGCTCAGCAGAATAAGTGCTTGCCTGGCAAGCACAAAGGCCTGAGTTCAATCCCTGGTTCCGCAAAAAAAAAAAAAAAAAAAAAAAAAGACTTGATATTTGACAAACACACACACACAATTTTTCTTTTTATGCTAAAATGAAAACAATTTCTGGTTAGGCTACAATTACAATTATGTTTTCAAAATAATTTAGGTAAAGAATATAAATCTCTCTTTCTCAATTAAGTGTATAAATCTAAAGAAAGAGAAACAGTTCTGAAAAAGAAACCAACTCTGATGTTGATATTAACTGGAAGGACTAGAGACTGGGTGTGGTGGCGCGCACCTGTAATCCCAGCTCTTGGGAGGCTGTAAACAGGTGGATAACTATGTGTCTGATCTAGTAGTGAAACTCTGAATACCCAGGAGACCCTTCCCTAAAATTAAAAAAAAAAAAAAAAAAAAGGAAAAAAAGAAAAAGAAATATATATAATAATAATTGGAAGGACTTCATGTTTTGACAAGAGCTATTTAGACTATTTTTATATAGACAAATTCTACATTTAAGTTTAATGTTAATAAGTGGAAATGACAGGGCCATCTCTAAGGTTGGAAAATCCTAATTTTTATTTGATAATCTCTGTTATTTTTATTCAGTTAATCCTTTATAATGCTCTTTACATTTGAAAATTTATTCTGGCATTAAAAATATTTGTAGTTTTTCTTTGGTAGGAAACAAAAATAAAACCTGAATAATGAAATGATTGCTATAAAAGCACCACAGGGAAAAGTACATTAATGTTTATATATATATATATATATAACCAGTGGTGTGTGACAGTTGACTAAATAAGCTCTACCACAAAAAGTGTCGACTTGATACTGAAAGCTTCCATAGTCAAGTAAAAGAACAAATCAGGAGAACTTTAAACAGAACCAAAAGACTAATTTCTACTATAGAGTCATTTTTCTAATGTGAGTGGGTACATTGAACAAAACAGGAGTTTTAAGGAGCAAAGACTAATGCAAATATTTTACAGTGTAAGGTACTATAAAGGATGAAAATGTAAGAGGAACAAGGTTTCCATAGTCAAGTAATTTCCATCCAGAAGAAAGGCTAAGACCAACATAAATTGCACAAAACCTTGTTTCCCATCCAAGTACTAACAAGGCCCAACCTTGCTTAGCTACAAAACCTTGTATGGTACTATCATATAAAAATTAGGGTGCTCAGAGCAGGAATTAAAGCTGTAAAGAATATATCTGGGCTGGCCAAATAGCTCAGCGGATTAAAGCACCTGCAAGCAGGGGCAGGGGCAGGGGGTTAGATATCCAGGCCTGCCCTGCCAGGGCTTGCTGAGAGGGCAATTGAGACTGGGTGTGGTGGCGCACACCTGTAATCCCAGCTCTCAAGAAGCTGTAAACAGGCGGATCACTACAAGTCAGATCTAGTAGTGAGACCCTTCCTTAAAACATACACACATACATACAAAGAAGAATATATCACATAATCTTAATTAATATTATAACTAGGAGATTGAAGTCTATTTTAAACTGAAGGAATCTCATATCTTTTGAAATAAAATTTTTTTCAAAGTGCAGGACAAGGAAAAAAAAATTTCCAAACCTCTTTTAATTTGTTGCTTACTTCAAGTACAAAGTAATTCTTACTTTTATTTCACTGAATTCAGTTTATACAATCTCTGATGATTACCCAAATTGGAAGAGAACCACTGAGCTGTAGGAATTTTACAGTGACCAGTCGAATTATTATGCCACTGACTTAGAGACTTGGCTTTGTGTCAGTTTAGTAAATAAGCTTTCATTACTGCACCTGTAAAACTGTCCAGATTTATTATGTCTAACTTCATGCTGGAGAAAGGTCAAGATCCCTGGAGTCTGAAATTCAACAGCTACTAGCTACAAGAACATAAGTGGTCACTGTCCCAGCTACCCTATCCCAACTTGTTGAGTGGCTGGGAAAAAGTCACAGAGAAGTAAAGCTTCATCCTGTCATTTTAAAGTTGTTAAATTAAATACTGAATGGTCTTTCACAAATGTTACATTTATTTAACCAAGCATCACAACATAAAGGGGTGTGAGGTATATACAAGTCATTTCATAGGCTAGCACAAGAGCTGAAGGGACAAAGTGATGTAGTTCTAAGTGCGGATTCTAGAATCAGGCTTCTTGGGTTCAATTTTTCAGTCACTTCTTGGCTGTATGATTTTGTGCAAGCTACTTAAACTTCCTGTGCCTCTATTTCCCCAACTATAAAACTCAGAGAATAAAGTACAAACCTCCTGGGACTGCTGTGAGAATTAAAATTTAATACCTTAACTGGGAAGCACTTGAGATGATGCTTAGCATAGTGTTGACTATTATTTATAGCCAAGAAACCCTGAAACTCAGAACATATGGAGGGAACTTGTCCCAGGCTGTACTGCTAATTACCAGGATAATGCTCTTCCACTAGATAATAATACCTCTGATAGAGAATGAAGAGGTATTTTAACAATTTCATCTTCCTTAGCTAAAATTTAAAAACCCACAACAAGTATTCAGACATTGAAATCATATTTGGCATTCTAGCCTATAGTCTTATTATCATTTTATCAGTTGATTGCTTCACTACGAGCACTGAGTGTTCAGTGCACAGATTTCCTTCCCACTATGTACTGACTCTTGCCCAGCCTACCTGTACTTCCTCTGATATCTAGGACCACTGATAGGGCCACAACTATAAAGGAGCAGGGAACCATGACAGCATGGGACCAAAGGAAAGGGGAAAAAAATGGAGAAAAAGATCATAGGGGGTCAAGGAACTAGTGACCAGGAAATAAATATTCTGGCAGGGGTAACTGGCTTTTGATAATAGTTCCAAAATGTTTTAAGCATGGTGACTTTTTTTTTAAGAACAAGATTAAAGTACATTAATTATGGTACATATGGCAAAAAATGACAGTGTCAAAATTTTAGAAAAATACTTTCCCCTTTTTTAGAGTGGAAAAATAGGAAAACCACTAAAGAGGGAAAAAGCAGTGTCCTAATAGTAGTTGTATTTTGTTACTCTAAAATGACGTTCACAGACTGGGTGTGGTGGTGCACACCTGTAATCCCAGTGCTGGGGTGGCTAAAAATAAGAAGATACTATGAGTCTGAGCTGCGTAGTGAGACCCTATACCAAATATGTAAAATAAATAAATAAAATTATGTTCACCATTTTAAAATCAATAAGCTACCTGATGTAGAATTGTGATTAAAGGTAGTGATTATAGTTCTTTGTGTAAGAGGCAGGCTTTTGGACTTAAAGATTTTAATTCTCTATGATAGACTAAAAAATGCTTCTTACATAACAGGGTAATGTATAATGCTGCTTGCATTTCATTAGAGAAAAATAATCACATTCCATCATTTTAGGATTCTTCTCTTCTGAGTTATTGAGACAGGGTCTCAGTATTGCACAGTTCAGGCTGGTCTTGAACTCACTATGAAGCGAGGGCAGTCTGGAGCTCACAGCAACCCTTTTGTCCCAGCCTACTGAATGCTTGGATTACAGGTATGCATGACTATGCCTAGCTTAGGAACTTACTTTTCTTTTCCTTTTAATTAAGTATTTATTTGGTACAGGGTCTCCTACACAGCTCGGACTCAGTGATTCTGCTGTGTCAGCCTCCCTAGCACTGGGATTACAGGCATGCACCACCATGCCTGGTTTCAGTGGCTGGCATGGTGTGCTTGGAATTCTGGGCTGATACAGCATGTAGTATGAGGAATCAAATCCTGGTCCTTGCATTTGCCAAGCAGGCACTTAGACCACCAACCTGTCTCCCCAACCCAGGAACACTCTCTTTAAGAAAGTCTTACTATGAATTAAAAACACTGCTACGAGATCTGACTCTTAAGTTTTAAATTTAAGAAAAAAAATGCACATAGTAATTTTACATCTTTCATTTTTCTGCTTGTGGTTCTTTTTAGTCAACAGGGTAAAGACACACTAAGTATGTGATCCACACTCCTTCAAGGATATCATAGGGTTCTCAAACATATCAGCACCCACAGATTAAATATGTTAAATATGATGTGCAATCATTAATGTAACAACAATGAACTCTCTTATAAAAATGATCTAATAGAAAAATAAATAAAATAGAATTATAAAAATTTGTTAGGCTATGAAATAAAATTAACAGTAATATAGGAATTAAAATTTACATTCCCAGAATGTTTTGTCTTTGAGTCATAGGAATAGGTAAAATGGCATTAGTTTGCAATTGAGAGAAAGCAAATCTCAAGAACAGTAAAAGGTCTTTTGAAACGATTCAACAGAATCATATTACTATTTATGACCATTTTCTGCTATTAACTTTTTAAAATACTCCTTTTGGTGCTAAAAAACAATATACCACTTCTTTAGAATATCAACAATATTCTTAGAAATTGTTACCAAAAAAATCAAATACCCGTTTTAGTTTTTCATTCTCTTCCATGAATTTTTGGGCAGCCTTATTAGTATTTTCTGCTTGAGTTTTAAGTACTCCTCTGTTTGACAGCTCTTTCGCCAGCTGAGTAATAAGTGTAACCAGACGTCTCAACACCCTAAGGAGAAAAAAGCAAATCAAAACAGAATAGCCCATAACCAGAGTAACCAGCCACCAGGAGCTGTGGTTTTAAATTAAACAGCCATGGTCCAGTAACTTGCATTTAGGTACACAGGTATGGTGGTGGAGATGACATTCACAATGGAACAGATGGAAAAAAAAAAAAAAAAAAAGACAAATTTAAATTTGAGCTGATACCTATATCACATTCTTTTAGAGTCTGTTAAAAGATGAGGATTGGACTAAACAGGGGAATATATAGCTCCAGTGGCATGTCTTTCTTTTTTTTAAATGTTTTGTGGTTCTAGGGGCAAGAATCTAGGGCCTTGTGCATGGTAAAATGGTACTTAATATTTTTCTTATAGAGGCCCATAGCTGGTAACAGTAGAAACAGGAGAAACTCAGTTTGTGGCAAGACTAGAGAGAAAAAAAAAGTTTTGGCCTATGTCAAAATTTACCAAAGAGCATTGTATAAGGTTGGCCAAGCCTCAAAACTGCTTGTTCATCCATTTATATGTAATTTCCATTGTTAGGAATTGTAATTAATCTCTTCAATTACATAATCAGCAGGTATTTCCCGAGAAATTGCTAAGTATTAAATATTATGTCTGGTGTAGGGACACTGCAGAAAATAAACTCAGTGTAGAAAATACCCTTTTGGACTTTAAATTCTTATCAGAGGCATGGCTTTCAAACAGTATTTCACTGTGATTGTAAATGATACTAAAATGGTAGGTATACACATATTTTAAGAGAGTGTTAAGATCTACCTATTGTGGGAGAAAGATGGCCCCAGAAGACTTCCCTGTGAGGCTGAGGAGTTAGGAGTTAGCCAGCTGAAGAGGGAAGGAAGGGCCCTGTCAGAAAAAACAGCTTGTATTAAGTCCCTGAACGGGGAGAGCTGGGCACATCAAAATGTGCCCTCAGTATTGGTTGCAGGCAAAAATATGTAAACAGTGAAAGGGTGTAGGGGGAATGTACTGGGCTCCTCATCAGAGACGTATGAGAGAAGACTCCAGAGGTCATTCAAGGACCTAGGAAAAGAGCAGAGCTGTTAGCTGTCGCTATTACTTATTCTAGCATATCAGCTGAGGTCTTTCATGAAGTCCAGTAAAATGACTGTGGTAAAGGTAAAAAAGAAATGAAAAAGATAACTCAAATGTTTTAAAGTTAAGACATTTTTACTTTTACTTACAGCCAAAAAAATAAAGAAAATCCCGAAATATAAAGATTTCTCTGAGATCTGAAAAGTTTCATCTGTGTATGTTCATAGGCGCTAGTTTTGGTGGATGAG